TGGAGTCAATAAACCTCATTCTCCCACTAAGTCAGAATAAACCTCAGTTCTTTCAAGAGGTCTCAGGGCAACATAATTGCAGTTCTGCAACTTGATCTTATCACTGAGAAACAACTTCACTCATTTAGAGGTAGAAACCTACATTTTTGGAAAAAATTATAAGAACTAAAAATTAAAGGGTTTTTACATGCTCTGCATTATTACACTTACTAGTTTAACTCAGGAATTTCCATGCATGACCATACAGCCAATGACATAATACATCTCTGCTATTTTTGTCACTGCATTTCATGCACAGGCCAATTTACAATATTCTTCATCTTTTAATTAACAGTTGTCTTCATTTCTCAGCTTCCAGAGGAATATGTCAGGTCTTTATAAGAGGAAAAAAGTACAAAAGAAGCACAATGGCAGCTAGAGGTACTCCCTCTGGAAAAAAATGAAATTTTAGTAAAAATCATTTACACAAACCAAAAGAATTTTTACACATTTCTTTACCCACATTAGTTTCATGACAGACCATATTGAAAAGGGACATACTATAGCAAACTGAGCTTCATTCTGCACTGGTAGCAACAGGAGTTTAGACTGTTGTCTCTACTGACAGTCAATAGTATTTGGTGGGCTCAGGGAGTTGATATGTTAGCAAGAGTTATGTCTCCCTATTTGTCAACCCTAATGCCTCATATTAAAAGTCTAGGCACCATGTAATTATAAAACAGTCATTTACTACACAGTTTGTAACCTTATATTCAATCACTCTTCTTTTGCTCACCATAGTTTATTTTATGAAATTGATTTTCCTGTCAACTCTTTCAACTTCATTTTCTCTTGGTAGCCTAGTAATCTAATTTTCCTTCTGTTTTTGTTCTTAATAAAACAACTACTTGTCCCTCCCACTGCCTTTTCATTACTACTATATCCACCAGTATATCCATTCCTGGAATTTGTCTTCCTACAGTCAAAGTTTTTGTACTTAGCCATGGAAACAAACAAGTAAAATGTGGGGTCCAGTTCAAGTTCAATATGACCAACATAATCCAGTTTGGTTTAAGCCAAGTGATAATGCTACCAGTAAAAAACTGTCTCATTCATGCTGGGTTTACACATGAGCCTGAATACAAACTCTGATTTAAAGAACTATCATTTCTTCTACTTGCCATAGCTCAGCACCAAATCTTTTATATCTTCTATTCCAACATTGGAATGAAAGATAAAGTGAGTTACAACAGACACACCCCATTAAAAGCTGTTTCTGCATGTTTCAGACAATTTGTTCCTCATCCTAAGAGCAGAAAAAAAGAAGTTTTTCTCCTTTCTGAACACCAGCACTAAGGCTGACCTTTGCTTGGCTGATTTTAGAGCCAATGAGGAAAAAAAAGTGAGGGAGAGAGGAGGCAAGAGCAGGTTCACTGTGTTACACCAAGTCATCAGGTCAGCAGCCTGTGATCCTGGGTCCAGCTCTGCTCCAGCCCAGCTGAGAGACCTCAGCCCAAAGCTTCTAATGAAATTGCCCAAGATGTGAGAAAATCTGTATAGTGGAGCTGTGCAAGATAAGAGAGATAAAATTGCAGAGGTAAGACTGCTGAGATGAAGATAAGTAGTAGCTCAGAGATTCAAGGGGAAAGACCCCAACAGGAGAGGTATACGATCCTAAAGGGAAAACCAGGGAACTGACAGCAACTCAGTAACCTTGAGGATCAACTCCTTCCAGGGAGCAGTAGAAGACTATTCCTCTCCATCTGACTAAAAGAGGCCCAACTACCTTGTCAGCAGAGAATTTTCAGGTGTCTGATCAAGAGTAGTGAGCAAACTAATGCTTAGCATAGTTGCTCATCGGTTATTATTATTGACTGTCTGTATCAGGAAGTTGTGTTACACATTTTAGATTTGCCTGTCCTACTATCAAAGTCTCTGCATACATTAAAAGGGATCCAGACAGAAAGCATAACAGTAATTCAAAGAACCCTGATTTTTATTTGTTTATAACAAGCTTACAGGTCTTTTTGGCTTCAAAGGGCTGAGATCAGTCAGAAAGAGGTAATGGGATGACAACTCAATGTTCTGCACAGGTGCCAAGTGATAAACTAAAGCCTTTAAGATTGCAGATGCACCAGAGGCAAGTCTTACCTAATAAACTGAGGTACAAAGGTCATAGATTAGAATTTGGAAAATGGTGTGAACATATTAAAAAATAAAAAAAAAAAAAGAAGAAAGAAAAGAAGAAAAAAATAGATAAACGCGAAGAAATTTCTATCACTGGCTACTGAGTGCCTTAACCTCTTACTCACCTTTCAGAATTCATTCAGTCACCACTTCTACTCCCAGAACATACCCACAGTGGAGTACTGCAGGGGTCTATCCTGGGATTTTCCCTGTTTAAAAACTTTTTGTAGTGGTCTGGATGAGGCTTTACAGTGAACTTGTAGCAAGTCTGCAGATGATCTCAAACCAGGAGGTTCACGCGTTATAGGGAGGATTTACATTAGGAGAGGTTTAGGCAGGTTGGAGGATTTGGCCACTGAGAACTTCATGAAATTAAAAATTAGGACAAATGGATGTTTCTCCATCTGCACAGGAAGAGGCTCTGGCACTGCTACAGACTGGGAGCTGACTGAGTGGGGAGAAGCTCTGAGGAAAAGGAAGGAAAAAAGAATTAAGTTGGGTTTTGTTAGAAAAAAGTTCCAACCTGTAGCCAAAGGCCCTAATACTTCTAGGCAATATGTTACAATATCATCACTTTATTTTAAAAAGTCATAGTCATTGTTTTTAACAAACTTGCATGTTTTAAAAAGTATTTGAAATTACGATGGATTACTATATTTTTTGAAGATAAGTAGATGTGATTCTTAAAAGCAAAAACTTAGAGAGCTTTACAAAGTTCCTATGGAAATATCTACAAGGCAAGTATGGTAGAAGCAATGTCTATTGCATAGACAGGCAACCTGCAGACTACTTAATGTACAGGAATAATAAAATGAGTTGGTATATTGTTTTGTGGAATCACAGTTCCTCTGCTGTTGGGATCTTCTGAAATCAGTTTCCTGTACTTGCTTTTAAAACATAAAACATTTCAACATAAGCAGAATAAAGACGACAAACAGAGGAATATGGACTTATTAAGCCTCAGAGATCTTTAGGAGGAGAGAAAACTGTACTTACAAGAGCCCTGTTGGTGGCAGGAGAAAAGATTAATATAACTTTGGCTTTAAGATAAGCTTCTTGCTTATATACAGGCTGTATTTTCATGGAAAAGAAGTTTTATATTTGAATGTGTCTCCTTAAAAGGGTATTTGGTATAAAAGGCTAGTAAACCAAGCTGTACACGTACACACACACACAGAGACAGAAATACCCAAACACATATATACACACAGACACACCCTGAGAGGTTTCACTGTAAGAATTCAGATAAACTTTCAAATTATTAGGGCATAATTTAGTTCAACTTCTGTCTTTAGGATCTAATCCCACAAACTACATGGCCCAGCTTAAATCAGTGAATTTTAGTGAAGTATCTAAGGTCTCAGAAAAACTTCTTGCAGTGAGTATAAAGTTATCCATGTTTACTCTGGTGAGCATGGATATAAGAATACTCCTATTTCTGTGTTCACATTGCAGCCCTCTAGACAGCAATAGACAAGAGTAACTTCATTTTTTGAGATGTTTTGTGTTTCAGAGCTTTCAAAACTACATAAAATTAAAATTATCTGTAAAGTCTCTACAAGAAGCACAGACCTCTAATCTGTCTCAGAGTAAAAGTGAAAACCAAGGCATCCACAGTTGCCTGGAAGCTGTGAGTTTGGGAGTACTTTTACATTGCATGCTTCTTTATAGGTAGGAGACAGGAAAAGAAGCAGTTTGTGATAAAAATCAGAACCAGCAACAAACATATGTACTCACAAGTCTAGGCTCACTATTTCTTTGTGCTATTATAGTTTGATGGAGGGGGAACTAAAACAATCCATGTCAAGTAAGATATGAGGAAAAATCAAAAATTTAATAACAGCCTTCTCATAACCTACACCAGCACTGAAAAAGGCTTAATACAAATAAAGTCTTGTTGTTCAAAGGTCACTGATTTGGCTGTGCAGACTGAGTTCTCACTGTGATTTAAAGCTGTCTCCTTGTCATTTTCCACCTGCACGTATAACATCATTCCAGATTCTTCCTCCAAGTCACTCCTTCTCCATATTGGAAACCTTTCAAACTACCTGCACCTTCTACTAGGGAAAAACAAAGAACAAAATATATAAATCAAAATGAAGTATTTTTCCTATGCTTCCAGTTAAATCTCATCTCACTAAACATAATAATACAAAAATGTACCTTCTTAATGATCAACTTTACTTAGTGAGGTGTGATAATATAACTGGATGCAATGGGAATATGCATTATGTTTCAAAGAACACACATTATTTGTAGACTCCAAGAGAAATTATTGTTTTTTCTTGATATTTCCAGCTGAACCTACAGATTTTTTCAGAAAATTCTTTTTACAGTTGGTTTTAGTAACATTAATTCTGTTAACTACTTAGCTTTCTGGAGAAAGCGGGAAAAAATTCAGCACATCAATCTCTTCTACTAAGTATCAAACAGCTTCACATCCATCTACTATTTCTAAAGGTGTTTGTTTATTAAGGAAAATAAAACCAGTACATAAATATTTCCATTAATTAAATACTCTAAAAAAAATTGCCAGAAGGAAGTTAGTAAAAATCCTTTCTATTTCATTATCAATTGCTCCCACAGTAATCACTAAGTCTTTCATTTTGCATACCCATTTGTGACAGTGACTGCTTACACTCACTGCATTTGTATCCACCCAAAAGCCACTGACAAGCTCAAGTTGACTATATAATTAAGCACACATGCAGGATCAGGGATTTCATCTTCAGAGACAGCAATTCAGTCACAATAATATTTTTCTTTCAGAAATGTCAATAGCTAGTCCATTTATTCACTCCTTGTTTTTAAGATTTTATTTTTCAGTTTCTCACTTCTAAACCAAATTCATGGTCCTTTCTGGCTGATGGCTTGGATACTACACATATAATCTTATTCTTCTGCTCCTCCTCTGCTACTTTGTGAATTCTTCCTACCTACTTGTTCTTTTATTCTTACTTCATGGAGTAGTATCAGACAACTTTATACATACATAAAAGTTATGCTGACTGTGTTCAAACAGCTTATTTCTCTTTCATCCTTTTCCTCAAATGCATTTCTTTTTATTCTAAGCTAAGGATAAAACGACATCTTCATTTCTATTGCTTCCACACTGTTGCACTTTAATTGATCTGCAGAAGATGTCAGAATGTGTTGAAGCTGAACAATACAGCACTTCAATCAAATGCCAAAGTCATGTTTGTGCAATGTTTTCTAAGCAAAAAAAAAAAAAAGACAGCAACTCAAAGACTGGAAGAAATCATGGCCTTATTATTTAATTTCTACATATTTAACTGCTTTGGGTTGAACAATTCCTTTTTTTGATGATTGATCTGCACTCCTCCATCATAAAAGTGCCAGCTTTTAGTTCATTTTCAGAAGTTTCTGAAAGGCAATATTACTTCTCAAAGTATAGGTCTTAAGGGCTACTTTGTTTCTGTTATTCATATCCATTAAATGCAACTTTTGTAAGAAATGTTAACACAATTATGCCAGAAGGCAGAATGACAGCTATATTAAATCTGCTTTTTCTATCACTTCTTTAATCATATGAAATCCACAGGGAAAACAAAAAACAAAACAAAACAAACAAACAAAAAACAAAATAAAGGGGAAAAAACCACACACATAATATGACCTACATAGTCTTGAAATTGTTGCTAAATTAATGTTTATATTTTGCACTGTGTTAAGATGAAAAATAACTCCTAAATTATGCAACACCAGAAAAACTCGGCTATCTTGGTCAAAAATTTAGAAACCCTGCATACAAAGAATGTTAATTTTACTGCAAACTTGTAATTAAACAGTAAGTTCATTGGTAAGGGATGTAGAAGGCATTCTTCCACCCACAGAATCTACAGGACTGCAATGGGCATAACAGCAGCTGGGTTGCTGTAAGCAGCCATGACGGCATTTTGAGTTATTCTAGAAGATTCTATCAACTATCTGTAATTAGAAGACCATCTAAACATTAGTGAGTATGCTCAAGATACAAGGAAGATTTTATCAATCAAACCAACAGAAACCTCCCACTACCACAACCACCGTGAGCTGAAGTGACAAGACAGCTCTTCAGCTCCTCAGGGCTGAGCAACCAGAGAACTGAAAGTCTGCAATTGCACAGGTGTACTTGCCACTGACCACCTTTAGAGTGCAGATCACAGAATCCCAGAGTAGGCTGAGTTGGAAGGTACCCACAAGGATCATCGAGTCCCACTCCTGGCCCTTCACAGGACCATCCCCAAAAGTCACACCATGTGCCCGAGAGTATCGTCCAAATGCTTCTTGAGCTCTGTCAGGCTTGGTGCTGTGACCACTTCCCTGGGAAGCCTGTTCAAGTGCCCAACCATCCTCTGGGGGAAGAGCTTTTTCTGATGTCCAACCTAAACCTTGGCTGATTTTGAAATAAAAGAAGAGCTACCCTAAAGTATTACCATTCACATGTATATGTATATAGGTATATGGAGAGAGAGAAACAGAGAGTGAGCATGTATGCCTATATACATATATACACATATATACACATATATGTATATATGCCTATATACATATATATATGTATGTATATACACAACTTTTCCAAATTTGAAATGTGGAAGCTTTCCAGTTTAAAAAAAAAAACAGGAAACTTTAGCAGATGCCTTATTACAAAATCCTATCCATGTCCGCAGCTCTTGAAGATGAACACAATTTGCATAGTACTCACACAAAAATCCAGACAGAATATTTGTAATTCAGATTTGGCTTACAATGTATTCATTTACATTTTATAATTACTTTAGCAGACAAAAAAAAAGCCAAGAATGAAATATGTTTTTCCCCAGTTAACAGAAAATAAAAGAGACACATTCAGTGCACTGGTAGTAAGAACGCAACTTCAATTTTGAACATCCCACCAAGAAAAGAAATCACACTGGCCAGATTAAGCACTTATTTTGCTATAGGCGCATTATGAAACACAGGTCCCCCAAGCCCCCTCTTAAAAATTGTAATCTGAAATTCTAATGAAATCTCAACTGAATAAAGGACTGGTCCACTTTCCTCCAAACACAGTAACTCTATATTAATTTCTTCTTGTATCCACCTAAAACCCCATCAAAGTTAATGGGAATTACATGTGCACCTACGTGGAAATAGCCCCATAAATATTCTTAAAGGGCACACAGACTGTAAAAGAAAAGTCTTCACAAGTAGGGTTTTTTTTAATGATGTAAAATGGTTGCAATTTGGGGTAAGTTTCAAACAGGAAGAAAGAGCAATGGGAGGAATTTCCCACCTGGCTTTAAATTACAATTGCAGAAAATCAAGCTGCTTCTTTCAAAACTGGAGATAACAGCAGGTCCACAGAGTAGTTATGTCTCTCTGCTACTGAGAATAACTTAAGAAAACCGCTTCACACACAATGCTGCATACACATAGATTGATGAGTTTGACTAACCCTTAAAATCTCTACCTTCAATAGGTTTTTTTCAGAAAACAGGACAGCACATTTAAAATAAAAGTGTTCTGAGCACATTTTCAATTTTAACTACAGTCTAGGTAAAGGTCATTACATCTGTTCCATCAAAAGCCAAGAAGCAAGGCAGATATGACTGGCTTCCTAGATTTGCTCTCATTTGTTGAGTCCCATGAAAATATATAATAAAAATGTAAATCCAACTCTGGGGAAGAAAGGAACGGCATTGTATTTTTCACAGAATTACGACAACCAACTTCATGGATAATACATTTGTAAATTTAATAACATCTCACTAAATCGGTGGATGCATTACCTCCATTTCCACATTGGGGAAATAGTAGTATAAGATCTTATTAGCGCACAGAATTAGGAAACAACTCCTATCATACTCAACAACTCTTATCATACTTAGCAGGCCAGCCCAGGATATTATCCAGCATGACAAAACACTGACAGCACTCTTTTACATACTTTACCTACATCTCAAGAATCCAAGCTAACTCCTGCAAGGGTGGGGAGAAATTACATGGCAGCAGGAAGGGAAAATCTCTCCCACAGTTAACAAAGAATAGTACCACTTTTCAAAGTTCCATCAACAAGATCAGCAAATCAGCCTGGAGGGTTTGCACATACACAATTTCTTGTCCTCCCTATTTCGCCCCTCAACTTCCCAACCTGTGGATAATGCATATTGCCATGCACATGGCATCTACTGTACTTGCTCCCCATCCCCAAATTGTCTGTACTTGAATTTGTTTGTTTCTTTCTCTACCTGTCCAGTCCCTTATTTTATCCTCAATCTCATCACCCTTTTTCTGTTTTGGGATTTGAATCCTAGCATTTCTTAAAAAATTGCCTCCAATTCTCAGCTTCTCCCCAAAGGCTTTAAACTCCCTTCCCCCACCACCCTTTCTACTGCCCTCAAATTTACATTCAAATTAAATTTCTCTGTAGCATCACAGGGTCCTCCAGCCTTCTTCTACTCATCCAGTACAGCAACCTTATCCTCAGCTTCTTTACCCAATTCCCACATTTTTCATACAAAACCTGCACAAACTGGCTGCTGCTCTTCCCTCCAATATATATTACAGGCTCTTGTTCTAACCTAATCCAATAATTGCCCTTATGTCTATACCAGGGCTGCAACTTAGGCATTCCTATGAAAGAGAAAAAAAAAAAAGAAAAACTAAAAAGGGGGAAAAATTCTCCTTGCTTTGTATTTCTGTGTTCAGTTACACTACACCTTTGGAAATAAGGAAAAGTAACTTTAAGAAATCTTCAGATGCACCACGGATGGTATAGAGAAACATCTCTGCATATGGATTCTAATCCATTTACCCACCATGTGTACCCTCATCACTACAGAACATGTGCAACCTAATATTTTTCCAAGTCATTTCTCCAAACTGGGCTAGCATTTTTTTTAAAAAAGTAAAAAAAAGGCACATCTTTATCACAAACCCAACCTACATCTCAAATGTTGCATCTCTGCTTTACCCCATAGGTGCATTAGATATTGACAACTAAAGGGCTGTAAAAATGTTGACAAGCAATGTGTTTTTCCCCTAATTTCATTCTGCTGAAATGACTGAGCTTTTTTTTTGCTCAAATTGTCCCAAAATACTCAGCCTAAGTGTATACCCAATGTGGGAAGATATCCGCATCGGCAGGAAAAGTTAGGTAGCAGAAATTAAGGAGTCATAATAAAAATGTTCTTACTTTTTAGGCAGCGCTAGCAACCTAGAACTCAATGTGTGATAATTATCAGTTCTTCGCTGCATCTTCTATTTTACACTCAATTGAGCTCAAATCTGACTGGGGCTCTGGGCAGGAGTACAGTTAAAAAGGGCTGCAAGTTCATACAGGGTGAAGTGTTATGCCCAGGTGTTTGGTGGTGATAGTAAATGCAGAATAACTGACCATTGCTGCTTCACATATACTACAAAGTGCATTGGCATCAACACAGAGCATCTGACAGCCTCAGAAAGTGTAGAGGCTGAGCTTCTCACAAAAATATTTTATCCAAAGACGTAGCACATATTCTTACCATAAGTTGGACTTTTTAAGACAATGATCCATCATTTTGTTTCACAAATTTTGGAAGATTCCCCCATGAAAAAATGCAGTAGCTGACCATAGATGAAACCAATATTAATATGAGAAGGATGAGGATGCAAAGCAGATCTGGGAAAGGAACAAATCATTTCTCAGTCCCTACTTTCCCTCCCCAGACACAACTTTCTTCCAAATGCCTTTTGGAAGTATCTAGTTTAAATGAGCAATTGAGTGAGAGTAATGATCTGACCTTTCCCAAGTATTATCTTACATGAAACACAATTTCTTTAGGACAAAGCACATACAATTATTCAAATTGGGGAGACATTTTTCTGCTAAGAGAAAGCAAGGTGCCATTTTCCATACTGAGCAGCACAATTTCAGAGCTGTTGAGCCCTGGAGCTTTCTCTAAGCCTTCAGTCTCAGAAGCTCTGCTACAGCATTTCTCCAAATCACTGAGTTCAGATAACTGAGAGGTATTTAACTGAAACCTAAATCTGTTAAATACAAATTGCATTTAAGTGACATTAAGGATTTGATTAAAGCCTGGAATACCAGGGGTAGAAGAGAGAGGAAGAAAAAGGGACAGAAAGAATAGCAGTTTCATTTTGTCCACTGATATCAAATATAACTTTTTAAATAAAGTCCAAAAAGGGACATTTTCTCCATTACCACACCCAATAAAATTTTCAATACTGCAAAAAGCTATTTTCCAGTAAAAACATTTGACATTTGTCAAGGTGACAAAAAGCAGAACTAATGAATGTGAATATGTAATTTTCCCAGGAAGGTCAAAAGTACAAATATTTTGCAGAGAGCTTAGTTGCTCTGTTTTTAAAATATTTTCTTATTTAACCTAGCTCAAAATCAGTAAGTTTTTCACTAAGCTTTCACTCAATTTCTGCTCAGAACAAACTGGGTGAAACCATGGCATCAGCAAAATTGTGAATGAGGACCTCACTAAGACTGAGAAAAGACCTCTTAAGAAAGAGTAGGGTAAAGAAAATATACTAGAAGACTCCTAAATGGACACCTTTCTCACCTTTCTTCTGCATTTCATCCTGTTCTACCCCCAAAATATCAGATTGTTCACAAATTTTTAATAGCTCTATTTTCAATTACTAAACATCTTGAAAACTCCATAGGATGTGTGGGATGCCGCCTTCTGCAGCTTTTGTATGCGATTGTGTGGTTTGCTGGAGTAGGTTGAGCCTCACTCGATTCAAAAAGACTACCCATGTGTTTCATGACAAGTGCATTTTCTCCCAGACAACGTCAATGCTGAGCAGCTCTGAGTGCGTGGGGAGAGCTGCACCATTCAGTAGAGCAGAGACACTGCCCTTTACACCTGTGAAGGAAACCTGGCTTTTATACACACTTAGAGAAATTAATCGCACAATTAGGAAAACCACCTTCCCTCTACCTCTTCCCAGGCTCCATTCCATCACTCCAGCGTCCACCCCTTCCCACTTATCATCCCCACAGGTTACTCAGTCCCTTCAGCAAGGTGAGGAGAGGCAGGTGGAGGCTGCAGGACACTGGTTACTATCAGTACAAAGCTGTTTCTGTCTGCTGCGCTTTTCTTCTCACACTTTTCTCCTGCTCCAGTGTGGGGTCTTAATGGGAGCTGCAGCTCCTTCGGGAATATCCATCTCCTCTGGCATTGGTTTTCCACAGGCCACAGTATCTTCTCCACCACCATGCAGCACTCTCTTTTCTTTCTCTGGCCTCAGGGCTTTCAGGGCTGTCTCTCACACTTTTCCTCTGACCATTCTGCCCTCCCTTATCCCGGCTGTTCCCGAGGCAATACCATCATGGCTGTGGGGCTCAGCCGTGCCTGGTGGTGGGTCAGCTGGAGCCAGCTGGAAATTGCTCTGTCTAACATGGGGCAGCCCTGGCTGATCCTAACAGAGGACACCCAGCAGCCCCCAACTACCAAAACCTACCCACCTACAGCCAGTATACTGGTTTATGTATTCCCTAAATCCTTCTTCCTCAACAAGGTGCAATGCCCCACCCCACAGGTTCTGTGTCAGCCAGAAGAACTGTCAGGCCTCACCAGAGAGCAAAACAAGGCCTGTGTGCCTCAGTCTTCTCCATGCTTTCGGTTTTACAGAGGTCCATTTTGTTGCTCTTCACACTGGTCACTGATTTCAGTGCTATCTGAGTTTTGATGTCCATTCCAATACACTGGAGCACTGTCTTTATATTCCTCCTGGAAAGCCCATACCAGCTTCCACTTTTCATGTAGTGTTTCTTTTTTAATTTGATCTCAGTCAGGATTTCTCTGTTTATCCATGTCTTCATCTACTTCAAGGTTTTCCAGAAGGCAGATGCTCCCCACAATGCAAGGCTGCACTTATCTTCCATTATTATTCCCCAAATCTACATCTCAACCATTAAGCTTAATCTAAGGTTTGTAATGTAAACTCATTACCTGCTGTCAAATCTTCTGCTAGGCTTTTGTGCATCGTGTCTGGCTTGAAAATTGCTTGCAAGAACTGTATTACTGCCATTTGTCATTAATATGAGTCACAGCATCATCAGCCTCAAACCTCAAAATCATTTCTGGTTAACCTTGGGAAATCTATCAAAATTGCATTAACATACATTTGGCAATTGCAGTATTGCAGATTTTGTAGCAGTCGCTCTAACAATCAAACACCCACCAGAAATTTCTATGAGATGTTGAGCTACTAGACAGCATATTTGTCAAAGCATTAAAATCAAGCAGGTGAACAAACCACATTCTGGTGTCTGACCACGTATCTGTCAGGACACGTATCTGTCTGACCACATCTGTCAGGACAGACAGGACAGTCTAAGCTAAGAGTTGACTGACGCAGGTTGTGTGGGCAGGACTTAGAACTGGAACTACTTCCCAAGCCACCAGGTCTTGTTCTCTGATGTCATGGAGGTCACCTTACTGAAATTCCATCTATAAGTACATCAGGTACAAAGGTACTAAGGGTAGTTCAGCCACCATCTCCCAATACAAAAAGGTTATTTCAAAATAGAATTTCTCTGCGACATAGAAACTTTCATTGAATTCCAAACGTAGGTTTGAATTGGGGCTAGTTTTTCACCCACTTCTTGCACTAACATTGAGCTTTGGTTTAATTTAGTAATCTTTACCTGCCTTCACGCACCTATACAAGACAAACATGCCCTCTCAGCTTTCATTTTGCCAAACTCATGTAGCATCCTCGGGGTCTCTTTCCCAAATCTTCATACTCATTTTTTGTGTTTGTAGTTTGAGTCTATTGTTCTTGAACATGGATGAACAGAATTGTCCACAGCATTCTAGATGAATCTAGCAGCACCTTTTACAAAGTAATTTCCAGATTTTGGCATAAAGATTTTGCATTTGTCCTTCATTTCTGCATTTGCGTCTTTTGCATTTGTCTTTTTCCCCATGCCACATAATACTGGTGATGTAGATTTGTAACATTGAAGAAGCCCTCATTTTTCTGCCTAGCAGTTCTTCGATAATCTCCTCAGTTCAGACAGAAATTCTTGTAATTAATCCTAATTGTAAAAACCATAGTTGTGTCATCATTCAATGTCTTCCAACCACGTATTAGCAGCACATTCCCATTTCAGTGTCCATCCTATGGCATTAGAAGAATATTTGCTGTGTTCTGAACCGTATCATAAAATAAACATATTTATCATAGTGTTTGCCTAGCAGGGTTTAGAATTACCCGTTTTTGATAAATCCCCAGTCACCTGCATGTCACCACTAAATGCTGTGTAGCAAGTAGCCTACATGAGTTGAGTTTCTGCTGTGCATTTGCTTTATATGACAGCTCCGGGCACAGGAATTACTTACTGGGCTAAAATGCTAAGGATATAGTTTCAGTTGGAGTCTTGCAGAAAAATAGAGAAATAAACAAAATAATGCACACCATGCAGTGTTCTGAGAAAATAATGCTGAGGAACTAAATATTTTATTAACTATGAGGGACAATATTTTCAGAGAACTTTAGAGGTTGAAAATTTCTCATATTTTCTCTAGCGCTTTATTCTGAGCACATATAATCTGTTCCTATGGTGTGCTAGGCTGTTCTTGCAACTAGTGAACTTTGTGGCTCAGAACTATATGGGAAATCTTTAGTCACGTTCCATGCACAGTAACAATAGATTTCATACATTCAGTAGAGGATTGTAAACTTTCCATTCTGTCCAAAGTTGTGCTGAATTCAGAATAAAGTCAGAAGATCTGGCCTCAGCTCCCCATTACAGGGCAAATTTTGCCCAATATCCTTACTGCTTTGTTTGAAAAAAGAGAAACCTTTAAACTCTTATCCTAGACCACAGTTTCATGTCCAGTGATTAAATTTTTAATAGAAGGATAGAGATGTTTTCAAGTATTTCACAGCAGAAATGTAATACAAAATGTTAATATGTGGAAGATGCAAATTTGATTCTGCAGAAATAAAGGATAAATAAATATTAGCCAATATACTAAAGTACAACTAAAAATAAGTTAATGTGAGTCTAACAGTGAAACATTTTGTGTGTCTTCATGTCATCTTACCAGAATGTAAAATAAATTTATCTGTGTAAAAGCTACCTTCATTTGATCATTTGGTGTTCATTAAAAAAATACATATATTAGTAAAAATAGAAATAGCAGCCACTAAAACAAGCAGTTACTATATTTAAAAGTTAAGAAAGTTCCCCAACTGCCTAGAGGCAATGTCTAAATTTGCAAAGTATGTTAATAAAATATTCTGTGTCAGTCTTTTACAGCAAATGGATTTGTGCCTATACTATATTTGCCAAATATTTAGTTAGTGATTCATATTTCCTTGGCTATATCTGAAGGTAATAAGCATTTCTTTAATTTCTGACAAAATGTATATAACCAGTTACTGTTTCCCTCTTCCACTAATTCTTCTGCTGTTGCAGAACCTTCAAAATCAGGATCTAACATTATCATTCTGTACTTTTCATTGTGTTTTTCAAAATGCATACTGTTGAGATCCAACAGGCAGATGTGTGAAGACTGAAGAGCATTTTCCAGTCAGTAAAAGAAATATTCTTTTTTGCACCAAATTAACCTCTAATTCACAAACTCCACGTAACTGCTAGTAAGAAAGCCTATGGATTTTAGTTTCCCATTTAATAATTTCTAGAATACTAGGGTTATCAGAGGAAGCAGAACACGACCCTGCTGTTGCAGTAAGTCTATAGGATCATACTCTCACCCCCAGCGAATCAATGGGCTTCCTGGTAATACAAAAGTCATTGGGACTTTATCTGTAAGGGATAATCTGACTCTTCCTTGATCTCCATGTAGTTTCTTCTGCTTCAGAAAACCTGGCTTTCTGTTCTTCCACGTTATTGCAATGCGAGGACACATCTGGGAAAGTCAGACGGTGGCATGGAGATCTCTCAGCTGTGTTCTTTCACGTAAAACTTCCAAAATAAAATCCAAGTATTGATAAGCACCATCCACCAGTGGTTTTCAAAATGCTTTAGAAAAGGTGGAAAATTGTGAATCTACTCAGGATCCTCAGCAAAGCCAGGAACAGAAATAACATCCTGGTGTTTGTATTTAGCAACTGGGTCTCTTGGAGTCATAGTTAGTCCTACCACTAGTTAATTTCTTCTACTATGAATCCAGTCACACTGTGGCAGGAGTTTTGGACTCATCTAGATAATTGCATGGACTTATAGATCAGCCCCAGTACTCCTGTGTGACTGTTACATAGAGAATATTTTAACAAATGTCCCAAAAATAGTACAGCCATATCTGATACTGAATGGTAGTCATTAACAAGTCTAAAATGGAAAACAGAATGATTTCTTGCATGGAAATAGCAGATATATAAGGGTGTGGTTCTTGAGTGAACAGGGATATATTGCAGATGTATCTACAATGAGGAAAAAAAAGAGCCTTATTTCTGACACATTAAAAATTTGTAAATTAGTATATTTTCTATCTATTAGATAGATGTGTGTGTGAGTACCAAAGCTTTTTCTGATGGAGGTGGAAGGATTAATTTTTTGACATCTCTTCAAATTACATAACTACAGCACAGTCATTTGGTAATTACAGATACTATTGTAGAGTAGTAACAGTCTTCGTTATTACCAGTTCCCACATATTTTCTGGTTGTATTACTGTGTGTCTAATTATGGTGTAATTACAACAGAGTTAATTTGTAACTAATGCACTCAGTAAAAGTATTAACATGAGAAAAGACAATGAATAATACAGTCATGTAGTGAATTACCCAGTAATGTTAATTAGTTCTATTTGGTTATTGAAAGGGAACTTGCAGAGCAATTCTGCTGTAACTGCACTACAATCAAAGTTCCTCTATTGCAAACCACAGGAAGGTTTCATCAAGGCTTGAATGGATTCCATTAAAAACAAATAATTCTCTTAAGCTGTTAAAAAAATCATTTGGAGCCATGTATAAAAAATTCGTTGAAATGTCAATATAATTTCACACAATTAAAACAGAGGAACAAATAATAACTACAACAAACCACAGATAAAACTTCCAAATGTTCTTGTTGGACAGGTGGTAACATGATTTTGACCAGAGGTGTCTGAATTAAATTATTTTAGGAAGTTACTCTAGCAAGTTAAATCAAGGCATTCTCAAAGGATTGAAGCCTCACGAAGGCCCACACTGACCACATCCCAGGCTTCTCTAAGAGGTCTTTAGAGCCCTCTCTCAAAATATTCATTGCCAGTTGCCTCAGGCCACTGTTGTAACAGCCTGGGAGAGCAGGTACGGAGCTCCAGAATCAGCCACATCAGAGAGCTGAAGGAAATAGAAGGAGGAGGAAAAGGTCTCGAAGATTTGGCATGGTGGAGAGCAGCAGCTCTGTGCCCAGAGCAAAGGCAGACCCTTCAGCACTCCTCTCCCCTGTGCTGGGCTCCAGGGTGCTGCTGGTCTTACATGGGTGCTGCAGGTCCTACACAGCTGCTGTCCCCGGTCCATGTGAATCCCACTGAGAGCAGAGATGCTCTCAGCCAGCCCTGCTGCTGCTCCCCACATCCTCAATCGGCACAGTGGTGCTGCAGCCCCTCTGGGATAGAGACTCTCATATTGGCCTCTATCCAAGTGCTTTTCAGAGGATGTGTGTTCCAAACCCAAACATCCCACTATAGGGAATGTTTTCCAACACTGTCTCAACAGTGCAGGAAAACCAAACAGGAGAATTTCTTGGAGTGCACAGTGATTTCACTTAAGGTAAGTTCTGCAACAGATGTTTCCTTTGTCCTCTCACACTCTCCCACTTCCAGGCACCAGAGAAGGGATGTCCAGGCTTTTTGACCAGCAGTCAGGTTGTGGGTCCTAAAGACCTGCATGTAGCCTGGGTGCCACTTATAGGACCTCTACATGTCCCAGGGAGCCTGCTGTTGAGTTGAACATGAGCCAGCACTGTGTTCTTTTAGGCAAAATCGGCCAATGACATGTTGGGCTGGATTAGGCAGAGAGTATGGAGGTGATCCTTCGCTTCTCCTCAGCATTGGTGAGGCCAAACCTGTGTCCTGTGTCCAGTCCTGAGCTCCCCAGCACAACACAGATGTGGGCATACTGGGAGAGTGCAGCCAAGAGCTGAACTATGATGATGAAGGGACTGGAGCATCACCCGTAAGAGAAAAAGCTGAGAGAGCTCAGACTCTTTATCTTGTAGAAGTGAAGGTTCAGGGCAGATCTTATCAAGGTATAAAGATGAGGGAGCCAGCCTATCTCCAATGAAGTAACAAAGCACTCCAAAGGAAACACTGACTTAAAAACTGTACA